GTACACATTTGCTGGGCATTTACAACTTTGCAAACCTTGGAACTGGATTGGAAACCACTACCTTCATTTCCTATTGCACATTTTCCACAGTCCTTGTATTTTATAACAGCAACTTATAAAAACAGTCTTAAGAAGATATAATGTCTCAAAAGGAATGGGTACAATTTAATGTTGACGTTCTGAACTACCTGGAGCTACTGGTTTGTGTGATGTCCAACTGATGTCATTGTGTTTGCCTTGAAAATTTAAAGTATACCATGATGGCACCCCTTTGAGCTTGTTGTGGTGCCCTTGGGGCACCTCACACAGTTTGTGAAGCATGGATTCTGCCCTCTGAAGTGTTTGATATAACTACAATGTGTCTTCTAAAATGCAGAAGCTCAGTTTGAGTGAAATGGATTTATTCTTCAGGCCTGGGGTAAGAGGCTGCAGGATGGAGGAAGTGGCAAAAGTTGTGATAAATGTTCTGTGTGGATTTCACTTTCCTCCAGACCTCATCTACAAAATGCCTACCTATGCCTTAAAATTCAGCTCAGGCTTCTTCAGGGCAACATTCCCTAACCAAGTCAAATTCACCTTGTATTATACGTTCTCAGAGTATTTCTTTCATAGCACTTTTCACAGATGCAATTATACATTTATTTGTATACCTACTTGATTCATTCTTGTCTCTCATTAGAATGTGAGCTCTAAGAGGCTAGGAATATATTTGCTATCACCACTATCCAGCAGTTTTGGTATATTATAGTAGCTATAACCTTGCTAAATAAAATGAATGAATGCATGTACTGTGACAGAATAGGGTCAGCATTCATTTTAATTATTTTCCTTTATTCTAAAACTGTTGCTATTTACTATAGAATTCCTAGAATTTATTTCTTTTTCTCATAATAAGTAGCTAGAAAAAGGAATCCCTATACATATAGCTTCATCTGAAACCTCAGAAAGTAATGTCACCTAAACTAAATAAAAGGATAATGTTGTTTTGGACAAGACAGTCAAGTGTTTTTAAACTCTTATAGGCAAATTGTTATAAGAAAAAATAATGTTATTACAGAGAAATTGTTCATAGAAAATTTCAAAATCTTAGCAACAGCCACAAACTACATTTTAAGAACCATATTCTACAGTGGTGGTATTAGATATAGAATGATAGTTTCTAGTTTCTAGAAAGTGGTGACTTTTTTTTAATGCCATTATACTAAAAAGAGTGATTTTATTGACATACTAAGCAAAAATTTTAAGGGAAGTGCATGGTGTCACCACTGAAATGAATTCTAAAAATCTTACTGATATATTTTAATGTTGGTATACAAAGATCAATTACTAAATTATGACTGTAACATAGTTTAGCATGTAATGTAACATAGCACGGTATGATTTCTGGATAATGAAAATAGTTTTAAAGTCAAACAGAAAATAAAGGTTGGATAAAATAAAATAGAAAATGATTCTACTAAATAACTAACAATCTTAAAGAGAATGGACAATTTTTAAAAACACTAAATTAAGAGTGATTAATGGGATTTAATACATTTAGTACATCCCTTTTCTGAAAAGGAGCTTTAAATTACAGAATCAATAAATTATGTTTTGATATGCATTTTTCACCCTTAAAGTTCCTATGCTAGAAGGAAATTATTTGTTTACACTTTTTTACACGTTTTAGAAAGAATGGCTATGGATAAGAATACAGAGATGAAGACGTTAAAGAGAAGGCAAGATAAAGATGGTGGATTCTGTGTCCTTAGGATTGCTAATCTGCAAACAGCAAATTCCCCTATATTCACTGTCTTCTTTGGGAGTTTGCTTCATCTTTTTGCCTTAAACTGACAGCTGGCCTTCTCTGAAGCTGTCATCTCCCCAGAAGTACCAACTTATTTTCTCTCACAGGTTTGATGTGTCTCTAGTTCCCTGTTCTACTTCCCAGATCACTTTTACTTTATAGCCCTATAAAATAAAAATAAAACAAAAACCATCAATCACAAAAGATACCTTTTCTTTGGTAGGTGATGCTAGAATACCTTCCTCATCACATCTCCTTCATCTTTCTGATCCAAAATTACCAGCCTACTGCATCTTACCTACCATCCTCCTTTCCTCCAGCTTCTGTACTACTCCTCAAACTTCGTATGTTTGAGTCACCTGGGAGAGCTTATTAAATTCAGATTCTGACTCAGGACATCCAGAGGTTTTGCATTGCTTGTAACTCCCATGAGAAGGTGTATGAAAAGTATATTTTTGAAACACTTTTGAAGAGCAAAGCACTACAGAAACAGTTTCTGCTATTATCTCATTTATAATAACACTAAGTCCCTCTTTCTGTTTAGCACCCAGTCCTCCGCCTACTTTTTATATCTATTTTGATATCTATTATTCCTTTACTGCTCTTTGTCTTTCTTACACAATCTCAATCTTTCATCTCTCTCTCAACTGCTTAATTATCACCCACTAAAAAAACCAAAAAACAAAAAAAACCCAAATCTTAATTTACCCCTTTATTCCCCTAGCTACCAGTCGAGGTCTCTCCCTCTCAGAGGCAAACTTTTTTAAAAAAGAATTGTCTGTGTTTGCCAATGTCATTTCTTCATCTCCAGTTCAATTCTGTACCCACTTCAATATGACTTGTAGGTCCAGTAGCCCACTAACACAGTGTTCACTAAAGTCACCAACAATCCATGTTGAGAAGCCAAAAGACATTTTCAGTTCTCATTTTATTTGAACCTTTCAACAGTATTCAATACCATGAACCACTTCTGACATCTTCTCACTTTCTCCTCCATAACGTAATAGTTCTTTATTTTCCTGTCACTGTTTCTAGCAACTCTTTTTCAATTGGTTTTACAGGACCATCATCTTCTATCCAGCTATTAGGTTTACATACTGAATTCTTTTGAGCCCATTCCTTTTCTACATACATCCACACCCTATAACCTCCATGCTCTCCTTTTTTATCTAAATGCAAATGACTTCTGAATTTATGTCTCCAGCTTACCCATCTTCTTTCAGTTATAAACCTGAATATCTTATGGTCTACATTGGACATCTTTTTCTTAGAATTCTCAAAGGTACCTCAAACAGAAGATCCAATAGAACACATAGCCAGCCAGATACATAGTCCAGAAAACTAGTATTATGTTTTTGACACATACTCTCCCTCACTGTCATATATCCCTTCCATCTTCTAAGACCTCCCAAATATCTATGGAATCTATTTATTTTTATCCATCTCCACTATTACCTCCACCCTAGTATCAGTAATTGTCATCTCTTGATTGAGCTACCACAAATGGTTTCATAAGGAGTATTACTTCCATGCATTCTGCTCTGCTCCTCTCTTTTTAACCTCTTTTACACATTCCAGATATGGTGATATTTTTGAAACACAAATTTGATCATTTGTGCCCTTCTCCACTGCTCATAGTGAACTTGTTTTAGTTCCTTATAATTGCCATGCTCTAAAGGAATTTTGCTTGTACTGTATCATTGGCTTGAAGTGCTCTTCTCCTTTATTTTAGGTAACCCTGCCTTTTCCTTCAGACTTCAGCTCAATCATCATTTTTATTGGAAAGCCTGTCTTCTCCTCAATTACTTGGTCAAATAATATACTAGAGGATCATACTGAGCCAGGTACTTCTCCATACTCTGAGAGCATGGTACATTTCTGGTTTTGCCCACCAGTTTACCCAGTACTAGCATGATTCTTGGCACACAGGTGTTACCCCCAAAATATCTCTTGATTGAATTAATGTGTGGAAAGGATAATATCAGTTTTGGAACTCTGAATGGTATAGAATTGGGACAGGGCATTCTCATTTTGTTATTGTTAAAGAATAAAGTGAACGGAGATGAATTAAGGTTATTTCAAAGAATACAATTTTTGTTTTGCTGGAATATTTAGATTTAAGTGATAGGGGAGTTGAAGATGTTTCATAGGTTGATCTGGAGAATGGTAAAGCCAATGATAGCAAAATTTCTGCTAAAAAAAAAGATGAGTTCAGTTCATTGATGCAATGAATTTAAGGTAACGAACTCACAGGGTAGAAATTGCTTGAGAACATCTTAGTCTGGAAGGCCTTCTGTTCCTGAGAAGCAAATATAGTCCTCTGTGTTCACAGTCCTCTGTAACAGTACAGAAATACTCAGAAATCTTGGAGTCATCTGAGATTGCTGTCTCTCTTCCCCTATTTCCTTATCCTTTTCTATCATTTCTTTAATTTCTCCATTTCACTGCCACTTCTCTGGACTTTGACCTGAACTATTTCAACAACTCCCTAACTACTACTCTCCCTGCATTCAGTTTTGTTCTCCTGTAATCCTGTTTGCATTTTCCTCCCAGAGTGACTTTTCCAAGACACTAGTATGCTAATTTCCTGCTAAGTATCTTTAAAAGGCTTCCACTGACTACAGAATAATATCTAGACTCTTCTCCCTTCCAGCTCCTTTCTAATCATACCAGACAATTATCCCCCAAATGCCTTGTCTTTCCCTTCTTAGTTCCATTCCATCCTATTGAAATCTGACTATAGGTTAACAGAGTTATTCTGGATGGGGAAAATATATTGTCTAGTATGGAGACAATTAAAGAGAAAAAAAAAAGGCGAGGAAACTCCGAGCCTTCAAGTTCAACTCAGATGTGACCTCCCGAAGCTCACCTCCTCTAGGAAGCTTAAGAGCCCCACTGGTTATCTGCCAGCTCACTGTAAATCTTAGTCCAAGTTAGCTGAGTCACTGTTTCTCATACAGGTGAAGTTAAACTCACTATTTGGCATGTCTGTCCTTGAGATAATCCAGTTACAAAGAGTTTGGCTACATGTAATTTGGGGTCACGTGTCTCATGGTTTGGAAATGTGTCCACATAATCCTCCTCTTGACCTCAAGAAGATGGCTACTGAGTGGCGCCGTTACGTCTTACGTCACCACGTGCCGGGAGGTGGTGCCCCCAGGGGAGATGGATGCATGGGCGTGGCTAAGTAGGACGGGGCGGGGCTACAAGGAACTGGGCGGGGCCGGACTGGGTCCGGGGCGCCTCTGCTATTCAGCTGGTCCTAGCCTCGGCGGGAGGTAACGCCGGGGGAGTCCACTCGACGCTCGGTCCCGCGAGCTTGACCAGGACCACCGGCTCAGACCAGAGACATCCGCGTAGCTGAGCGGAAGCTGGTGGTACCGGAGAGGCAGCTGGAGCCCAAGCTCCGCAGACGGGAAGCACCCAGGACCGGGGAAGCCCAGGGAGCTGCGCGGCGGTGCCTCTCTTACCCAAGGGGCTGCTGCGACGGTCACGGGGCGCGGCGCCAGAGCGCGCGACCCAGGCCAGGATTCCAAACAGGCGGTGCAGGCTCCTCCTCCGCCCGGGCCGCCTCACCTGCGGGTACGCTGCACCGCCTCCCCGGGTGTAGACGGCACCTGCGCCGCCTGGTTCGCCGGTCCCCGCCCCTCGTTCTCGGGAGCCAGGCCCGGGCGGCACACCTGAACGCTCGGGGCTGCGGGAGCCGAGGCTCGGGGGGCGAGCGTCTTCGCCACCGCCCGGGGAGAACGCAGGTGGAGCGGCGCGGCTTCGTGGAGTCCAGCGTCGGGTACTGCCGTCGCCCAGTTGCTGCCTGGTCCCGGGGACCGCGCCCGCACCCGGTGAGGAGCCGCCGCCAGCCGGCACCATGAATAGCAGCGGCGCCAACGTAGCCTATGCCAGTCGCAAGCGGCGGAAGCCGGTGCAGAAAACGTGAGTGCCCGGAGCGCGTCCTCGGCTCTGGGGTGGGCGCCCACCCCGCCCCCAGGTCCCCGCAGGCTGGGTTAGGTCGTTTCCTCACACGATCCATGGACTCGAGATTTGGAGGCCGGTCGGGAGACCCAGGCCTTGGATTTTTCTGTTTTTGATTATTGTATTTTAAAAATTGCCTTCCCGTCCCCAGCGCACATTCACCCTCTAATGCTCCCAGCCATTTGCAGCTCTGTTCTAATATGGTCCAATTTGTTGACGGCCAGGTCAGCCCTGTGGGCTGGTGTATGAGTTAACATAAACCTATCGTGAAATCCCATTCCACTTTTAATATCCTCATCGGTTAAAAGCGTGTCATAATTCCCAATTCTGGCAGGACGAGGTGTTTTTAAAGAGCTAAACACTTGCCGTCTGCTAGAAAGGGGCTGAGTGCCCCTGAAGGTATTTCTTAGGTCCGGTGCAACTGGCTTTCTGTTGCGTTCTTTCTTACTACTTTGACAGTAATTTTGTATCCTTCAATGTGACTATGTCGGTAAAATGTACAGAGATGAGCAGACACGAGTGAGTGTAGGGGTTTTTGTATTTTCAGCTACCTTTTTGGGAAGCTTTCTTGTCACTTCTGGGGTGATTTTGTGTCTATAAAGCATGGGATTTAGACCTGGAATTACTAAACAGGCAGGCGCTTTCATTCTTGGCATCTTTCTCTAATTTCCTTTTTCCCCTTCTTCAAAGTTTTGTCAATTCTAATAGACTGATAATAAACTTAGACTTGTTTGTTTTGGTGGGGTGTTTGTGTGAGCTAGCAAATACTTAAATTTTTTGTGTGAAAAAAATCTGTGCCTGAGACTTATTTACTTTTGTTAGTTGGCTGTTTTCATTGTCTATTCCTAATTATTATCTCTGAGTTACCTTACTTCAAATCTTTCAAATTTTCATAAACACTTTTAAGAGCACATCAGACTTTTACTCGGAGCAATTAAGTGTGTGTTTTTCTTAAAACCTAACTTTGGTCATTGATCTCAACAGAAAAATAACAGTTTAAGATTTATACTTAAAACCAGTAACTGGTTTAAAATTTTTATTATATGATCATAATTCTTTTAGAATTTAAGTGATCATAATTCTTCAGGTCTAGACTTGGCATTAATAGGATATTCATCTATAAATAGACTAATTAAAACTGAAATCTTATCCTTGCTGTATGGCTGACATTAGGAATACTGCCAAGTCAGCGGTTTTCTGTCTTTGATGTTATGTGACATTGACTTAAAACACTTTTATTTTGTAGAGTGGTTTCTTATTTAAAAATGTATTTGTCTAATTTGACTTTGTCCTTGATGGTTATTTAATATCGAGAAGCATCCAAATGACCGTTCTATGTATTGATTAATGTATTCTATGTATTGTATGGATTTTTAAGTTACATACTTTCAGTTAATATGTTACAAGTGGACCTAGATGCCTTTAGAGGAAAAAAATAAAATGCCTTAATTTTGTATTCATTGTAAAGTTTATCATCTTTGGCTTCTAGTTAACATTAAAGATCTTCCCTTTAAACATACTACATTTTCTCTTTGTAAGATGTACCGTTTTTTTATCTTAGATTTTAATATACTTTCTAAGGCTTTAATGTAGTTATATTTAATAGTTTATTTTAATACAGTATAACTAAAGCCGTTTCCATATTCACCCTTACTTTACTTAGTAATAGATGTTTATCAGATCTTTGAGCATTATGCATTACTTCCAATCATATAAATGACTTAAAATGTCACTACATAGCTCCGTAAGAAAAGCCTAATACTGGCATTTGCAGAATCATGTGAAATTGTTAATAAATTGTTTTTACCTGAGTGAAAAATGGTTAACTTCATAATGCAGTTAGTCGAAGTTTTAGGAATGTGGCCATTAACCTAATATTAAGTTTAATATGAATTTTTTAGTTAAATTAGTCTGTGGCTAATGGGGTCTAAACTACACCAATATTGTCAGAAAAATATATCTTGTTTGAGCTGAAAATGCTATTGAAATCAATTTTACTTTGACCCCTTAAGTGAAAGCCATTTTATTTTAAAGAAAAAATATATTGTAGCATAATTATAGGACTTTTAGGATGATCATTTAAATAATGCAATTCCATAAAATTTAGGGACCAAGTAGGTGACATCGTTTAACCTGAAGCTCTTCCACACAGTCTTCAATTGAATTTACTAAACAAGATAAACTCCCCCTAGTGGAAAGTCTGGCATCGAAAATTATCTAGTTAGGAAATCATTTTAAATGTGTTAAATTAATGCCACTAAAGTATCTTGCACATAGTAGACACTCAGTAAATGTTTCTGTTTTGAGTACTGGAAGTTAGGAAATTAAAGGAGCAGAAGGAAACTTGCATCTGATCTACGTTCTTAAAGAAATTTTCAGGTACTTAAAAATAGATTCTACTGTAACTTTCCTTAAAATGTTCTATACTTAATAAGTTATAAAAAAAAAGAAAAGAACAACCCAATTTTTAATTAAATCCTGTTCTTGTTTTATTTTCTTGGGAGGTGAAAGCGTTTTGTTCATTTGTTTACTTATTTTAACTCATGAAAATTGGTGAAAGGCGCAGTTGAATTAAATAGAATTTTTTTCTAGTGATAATAACTTTTAATGTATTAAAAATTTTTTTATTAACACAGAAGGAGTTTTAATGGTACTTCAGTGTACCATATTTCTGAAAGTTAGCACTGAATGTTGGCAAATAAGTGTTGAGTAAATGACATCTACACTTAAAAATGATATATCAGTGGTAGTTGTAGTTTAGCCAGTCATCTTGAAGTGTACAAACTGGAAATAATTTCTCAGCTTTAGCTGATCCTTTTTCCTTTGTTAACATAGCAATAATGTTATAATAGAAAAGCACTGTCTTCCTTGATATATTTGCTAAATTGCCATTCATTCTATTTAAACCTCATTGTGCTCACTTATATAATACCTACTTAGTAAAATAAAATTATATAATATTTTACTGAAAATGTTTCCTGTAAATGTACTATGATACCATTTTCTAAACAGTTCCTAAAATAAAGGATAGGTCGTTTTAATTACATAATTATGTGTCCACCATCATATTTCTCTCAAAAAGCTCTATTTAGATAGTTCATACACAGAGGCTATAGAGGCTCTTACATATTGGAACTATGAAATGAGTAAGTGAAAGTGTTTAGTATCCAGTAACATTTATAAAACAATAAATGGCAAAATGAGGAAACAGTGATAAATAAATTGAAAGAGCTCTAGGTCTAAACTAAAAGATGAGGTTTAATTTCCGTGGTTTTGTAGATCTGGGAAGTGATTGACTTCCTAATAAAGCAAAACAGTCAACACCTACACTGCCACTTTCACAACTAAAATTAGCAGAACAAAAACATTCTATAAGCTGTAAAGTCTGCTAATGATGTAAATGAAACAGAAACATAAATTCTGTTCTTTAATTTTAGCCTACATTATTATAGAATAGTCAATTCTCCTATGAAACAGTAAGAGGCAGTATATGATTATGTTCTTGATTGTGGGTATGGCTGAAATGTGCTACTCCACTGACAAACTTACACAGCACAAGCTTATCAAATTATAAGTATATAATGAAGACAGTTACATAGAAATGAGTACCATGCAAATCTTTCACAATAGTACTTTTGTACTTCCACACGTCTTTTAAAAATTATTTTTTTGCATAGTGATATAATGTAACAAATATCTACCACTTATTAGTACTTAACTGTGATACAATGTGCACAGTGCTTTGCATACACCATTTTATTTCATCTTTATAACAGAAGGATGAGGAGATATTATGTTAGTTTTATAGCTAGGCCACCTGAGGTTCAGATTCAAAACTGTCAGGAAGTAAATGAAAAAGCTGTTTGAATATTGGATTCCATGTCTTTTGTCTCCAAAACTTAGATTCTTATAAACTTGACAGCTGCCCAGGTAAATAAATTTAGCAGTGCATTTGGTATACCCTTTAATAAAGTAGGGATTTCCTTAATGTTTCTTCTCAAATGTGTTTGAAATGGCTTACCATTTCCCATACATGATTTATTCTTGTCTCCATAATGGCCTTTGTGCTCTTTCCTTTCAGTCTTTCCTGTCATACTGGTTGCTGCCCACCTCCCCTCTAAAGCCCTGTTTCCAGGAGCTGTGTAGTACTCCATCCTGTGGATGTTCTGTAATTTATTTGACTATTTTTCTTTTAGGGGGAAATTCTCTTCTCTCCAGCCTTTAAATATTTTAACTAGTATTTCAGAGAATAAATAACCTTGAGGTATGTGAACTTCTATGCAAATTTTTAGTGACTTCCTAAGGAAAAATTATTGTTAAGTTGAACTGTGGAGTACAAAGGTATGTGTACTTTGAAGGGTGAGCCAAGTATTATGCTTCCATACAGTGTCCAATTACTCTACCTAAAATTTACATTCCTTTCAGTAAGCTGTGGGAGTCCCCATGTCCTTGCACTTTTGCTTTAAAAATATCAATTTCATAGGCAAAGAAGGTGGGCTAGGTAAATTAACTTGTGTGTTGGTATTGTGTATGTGTGTAGTAGTAATAGTGTATGATAGTAACAGTGGTTGGAGATTCTTCCACTTGAGGTGTCTTTTACATATTTGTCTATATTTTTCAGTCATTTTTTTGGTTTGCTCTTTTCCCTTTTTTGAGTGAAATACTGTTTTGAAAAGTATTCCTATTAAATAACACTTGTATAAAGAAGTCAATCATATGTGTGTAGTGCTATCTTAAGTTTAGCATATTAGGCATTATCTGTTGATGCTTTATTGTAATAGTTAAGGTTCTTAGTGCTGTTGCATCTCTGTTTTACCTTTCTTCATCCTCATAATTTTAGCACAATTTTGGATTAAATGCACTTTCAGAGTTTCATTATTTTTTAACTGTAAATATTGTCTACTGCTGAACTAAGTAATACACTGTGATCACATTTTCCTTCCGGTTCTATGTTGCCATTG